GTGTAGGAAAAAATGTAAATGTGCATGTATGGTATATATGTAAATTCAAATCATTTTATATAAAAATAGTAAGGAATTAATTAATAAAAGTTATATATTTAATACTACATCAAAAATTTTATAAAATTAGAGGTGACATTGCATGACTATATTATTTTATTAGATATGCAATTAAAATAGTCTAAAAAAGTGTATAAAATTTTATCGTGTAAACAGTGAATGAGAAGATAATAGTTTGGATAAAGAGAATAATAATTTTATTTAATTAATGATCAATTTTTATCAAGTTTGACTGAAAAAACGAAATAGACAAATATCAAGACACGGAGGTAACAACAGAGAGAGTCCATTAGAAGTGCGAAACAATTCAAAAGATGAGTACTTATGATTGGTGTGTGAGTACGTGACATAAAACAAGGCGAATATCAAGTTAACTTTGCACAAAGCTATATAGACCACAATCATCTGTGGTCTCTGTAAAGTATTGAATAAAGAGTTAAGTGCACCGTTTACCCCCGAATTCTTTGAAAATTGCATGGTTTACCCCCGAACATTAAAAAGTGCACCAAATACCCCTGAATTCTTCAGAAATTGCACGGTTTACCCTTGAACAATAAAAATTACATCAAATACCCCTGAACTCTTCGAAAATTGTACGGTTTACTCCTGAACATTTAAATAAAGATGACAATTTTGGGTAAAGATATTTTGGAAAATTCACAAGGGTCAGATGAATGATATTCACAATTCTTGTGCGTGGAAGCAATGCCCTCTCTATCTAATAATTTACGACCAACGATGCAACGTTTTAATTTGTTCAAGGGTATTTGGTGCATTTTTAGTCTGCAGGGGTAAATCGTGCAATTTTCGAAGAGTTCAAGGGTAATCGATGCACTTTTTAAAGTCCAGGGGTAAAACATTCAATTTCTAAAGAGTACGGGGGTAAACGGTGCACTTAACTCATTGAATAAATAATGTGAGGTTATAACATGTTTCATGAAACAATGAGAGTTTATCTAAATAATATTAAAACATAGTGACTAGTTTTTTCAAGTTTATATTCGCCACCACTAAGTATTGTTCAAACTATATATCCACAAGCATTAACATATTGTGTCAGTCAAATTTCACATAAAACAGAGGATATGATGCAAACGAAATCAGGGAATCATAATCAGACTAGTTCAAAAATACATTCCCCTTGTGAATTGTGAAAAATGACAGCTTTATCCAGCAGGTAATGACATTATTTAGGAGTCGTTTAGAGGGAATGTAATAGCTAGGGAGTAAGAATTNGTGGGGGGGGGGAAATCACGTGATGATGAGTGGACATATACGGTGGTGGCGGGGATTAGGTGGAATAAATAATAGAGTCGCATCGGAGGTAGCCATTGCCTAGCATGCGGCGGCGGCAGAGGGGGCGCATGTACGGAGGCGGGGGGGCATGGCATGGCGGAGGGAATCTGCTGTGATGAAAACGACGACGGAGGGGGGGGGGAGCAATATAATAATAATGCCACCTCCCCCACGCCATCCCGACATTCATTATATTGTCTCTTCTGATTTTATTCTCATCTATCAGTCCACATCCATCTCCCGGCCCCCAACCCCTTCCTTCTCTCTCTCTCTCTCTCTGACTCTCTCTCTGCACTCTCTGAGTCCCTCAGCTGAGTTTGCACTTTCCAACAGTTCTTTCATTTAACCACTCGGTATTTACTATTTCCCCCCACTAAATGTTTATAGCATTTCAAAAAACAAAATAAAATATTAAATTTTTCAATTTATTTTATTTATATTAGTGATGAGATAATATTCTTTGGGCCTAATTAAGATATTGGGCTGGTCCAAGTGAAAAACCAGCTAGGGAACCCTAACCCCAGGATCCTGTTTTGGCGCTATATAAGATGCACAGATTCAAGAAGAAAGGGGAGCCTCCCTCGAAATTCTACACATATTATACTCTTCCTCTTTGTCTTCTCCTTCCCAATAGAGCTTTGAGCTCCACCAATTGCTGTCACGCCAAGATGTTGTACATACCCCCGATATATAATAAAACACCTCCTGTTGGCATGGTACTGTCAAAAAAGCTCGTGATTTTCACCGATTTGGTTTCCACATCAAAGTCTATTGTCTATATTCTTGTTTGTACATTTTCTATATTTTATACATATATCGTTTAGACCAAAGAATACACACTCGGGAGGTTTTGGTCTATCAATTAGTATAGATATAAAAAATAAATTTACATATTTAAAAATTATTTAATTTTTTTAAATAAAAAGTTTCAAGAATATTTTATTAAGAAATCTCCCTTGATATGAGTAAAAAACTATGAAAATACCAAAATAGAAGTTCGAGTCTTTTATAACCAAAATAAGAGTATATTGTAGTGCGGTATAAGGCTACGCATTCGCAATATGATAAAAAAGTGATGATAGTATAATATGTCAGTGTGATCTGTCATTTGCCGTTGAGTCACTCTGGTGGTCAACATCGACATGTGACAGTATGACAGTGATAATCTGACAGTTACAATGTGACAATGTGGTGAATGTGGCAGTATAACAAAGACAACATGAACTTCTATTTTTGTCATAAAAGACTTATGACTTCTATTATAGTATTTTCATACTTTGTGATAGAGCTGACAAATCAGTCGGTCGAGTTCGGGTTCGATCACTTTAAGTTCGGGTTATTTCAGGTTCGGTCAACTTTGGGTTTGCTCATCAAAACCTTTGTTCAAAATCCGGTGTTTTCATGTCGAGTTTCGGGTCAAAAATAGGCCGGATCATTTTTTGTCAGATCTAGTTTTTGAATCCTATCTAGAGAGTTCTCCCTATTTTATTTTTATTAAATACGTAGTAATCAATAAAAACATATAAATCAACAAAAATTGTTGTGATATTTGCAAAAAAAAGCTGACAAACATCTTGGGACGGAGAAAATATTTCATTATCACAATATTTAATGAGAATTTAACGCAGAAGTTTAATTTGTTCTCGTATTTATATTTTGTCTCACAATAATTGTCTCCAGATCAAACCACCATCTATTGGTCAAACTTTAAATTCTGGTCTTTCTTTTTTTTATTTTTGTTGGTAAAAAAAATTAAGCAACACTTAACTAAGAATTCCTGCAGCTTATGTGGCTAACCTCATCGATACAAACATTTTGAGGTGTTGTTTACTATTCCCTCTGTTCACAATCCAAATGACGTGTAAAATTCATCATTTTTAAAATTATTTTAATTACAAATACTATAGAAATAAAAAGCATACATTTTAATTTAGAAAAAATTCTACTCCCCTCATCCCAAAGAACATGACACATTATAATTTTTAATAGATTTAAGAGAAGTGTATTTTGGTGTTGAGTTTCAAAACATGTTCTTGAATGTTATGGGTAAAAGTGAGATTTGATAAGTAGGTTAATAGTGAATATATGTGATGTGGTAAGTAGATTAAAAATTAGTAAGGATAAAAAAAATGTTTTTTAATAAAAATAAGAGAAAAAAATTTGGGACGAATAAAAATAGAAAGGATAAATATTTTGAGGAACGGAGGTACTACAAAACAAGATATGCAAAGAACATTTTACATTTATCAAATATCAATAAAAATATACAAAGAAAAAAAATTATCGAGAGACCGTAATAGTGACAGCAATATCCATTTGGAAATGGAAGGAGTACATACTTTCTCAACATGTACTAAAAAAAGGAATGCCTACTGCGGACACCCCCACCCCACGACCCGTTCTCAACATGTTCAAATGCATATAGCTAGGGGCGTAAATGAATACTAATCAAAACGGATATGTTTTTACCAAAATATTTATCCATTTATATTTATCAGATATCAAATTTGGAAACAGATCTTGGCATATGCTACAAATCAATACCGTATCGGTCGGATCAAATATATTCATTTGCATGGATTGGAGTATGTCTCAAATCTCTGTCTCACACAGGTTAGTATTTACATCTTCTCTTTCAAAATAATGGTCTCAGACTCCCAGCCCAATATTCATTGAATTGGTCAAACATTAAATATTACTCCCTCCGTCCCAAAAAGATTTACACCTTTCAAAAAAATTGTGTTCCACAATCTCCTACCCATTTCTATTAAAAAAACACTTTTACCCCTTACTTTTTCAAACCCTACCTAATACATCATACCTTTTTCCTAATAATATATACATCACATTCTACTTTTACCCATCACATCAAGGGTATTTTTGGAAAGTCAACACAAAATTATCTCTCCCTTAATTTCTACTTTAGTCAAAATGAGTAACACTTTATGGAACGGAGAGAGTATATTTTTCTTTATTTATTCTTTTTGCGGTAGAAAAGAAGGGCAAAATGGGAAGCCGGAGGCCACACCCCATCGCCTTTGTGAAAATGATTTGACTAAAAAATGTGTTATGGGGGGCTTTGACCAAGGTAATTAAAAAAAAGGCAAATGGCTATACATTCCTAGCATTCATAAAAAAAAAATACCCAAAACAACCCTTGTAGCTAGCTGATGGGTAATAACCCATGGATACCACCCGGTTGGTTCGTCGACTGGGTGGTTAACGAAGAAGCGGAGCGCATCCTTCCCAGACCGGGTTGTCAGGCCGGTAGCCTGGTTGGGCTCGATGCTTCAGCAATAGAAACGTTCGCCAAGTGCTCTTATGCGACCGGTCAGACAAATGACCGGTTGGATAATCAGAGACGTGCTTGACGTGCTTAAATATGTTATAAATACCCCTAAAATCCTCATTTGTGAGGTATCTTTTTGATTAACACTACACGGCTTGTATTTTGTAATAATCCTAGCATTATTAATAACAAACCGGGTTACGGGTGTTTCCACCTACAGCCCTTCCGACTACTTTTACTTAATATTTGCGTGGTAATTTACACCATCAAATTGGCGCCACCCGTGGGACCTATTACAAAAAGTCATGGCCAGTAACCAGGAAATCGTACTCTCACAAATATCTACCCCCGCTGAGAACGTCACTTCGTTCCCGGGAGGTAGCACCCAGCCCATTACCCAGCAAATAACCCAGATTCCTACCCCCATCATCACCATTCCGCAACCTATCCCATTCACTTCCCCCAAAAACCCTGTTCCCGTTTTTCCTTCAAACTTTCCGGGACCCCTGGATCCAATGTACAGCCAAGCCCTTCAGAACTTTGGACATTTCATGTCCATGTTCCAGCAACCGGGAGGGTTTTCACATTTCAATCCGGGATTGTTTTCGCAATCCACGCCTCAAACTAATGTCATTCGCCCGATCGTCCCGACAAACCTGATCGGGGAGATGGATAAAGCGGGCCCGTCCCGGTCTAGGAGAAGTCGGTCTCGTAGGTCACAAACAAAAGTGACCTCGGACGGAAACGTGCGCTCAGTCCACAGCAAGGACGAGGATTGGGACGCTCCCCAAGCGTTCAAAAAATTGAAGGGAAAGGATGTTCAACCAGAAGGATCTAGGAGGTCGGCCTTTCAAAGGCTGGGGCACGATGGCCGAAATCAAAACCGGTCAGCAAAAGAACGGTTGGGAGTGGAAACCATCCCAGCTAGTGCCTTTAACCGTACGGGGAGAGGAGCCGGACGACCTGGTCAGACCAGGCGGACGGAACCACCCCCACGCGATGAGCCCCAGCACAGCCGGACGCCACGAGAAGAAGAAGCCGAAAGCCACCCCAGGCACCCGACCCGTTCTCATATTGAGCAACCTCGGGATCGTGTGGGCCGGGTCGAGGCACGTCTTGAGAAACTACAACGCCGGGTAGACCGGGAAGAAAAGAAGAAGATCCTGCTGAACGAATCTCCGTTCACAGACCGAGTTCACGAGACCCCGTTTCCAAAGAAGGCAAAACTTGAAGTCCCGAAGTTCACCGGGAAGGAGGACCCGGAAATCCACATCAAAACCCTCCATCAAAGTGGACGGATGATGGGTCTTTCCGGGGATGAGAAATGTCTGCTTTTCTTTCAAACCCTCCGCGGCCGCGCCGCCGAGTGGTTTCATAACTTACCGGCCGGCGAAATTGATTCGTTCGATGAGCTGGCTGAGGTGTTTCAAGAAAAGTTTAAGGAAAACTGTACTAAGAGGAAAAAGTTCACCTACTTGAGTACAGCCAGGCAGCGAGAACACGAGGATCTGACCAAATTCCTTACCCGTTGGAAGGATGAGGTTGACAAGGTGGAGGAGATGGACGACAAAACGGCCATGTCCCTCCTTGTGTCCAGGCTCCGGTCCGGAGAACTTTACAAGGAATTCTGCAGGAGGCCTCCCCAGTCCTACCAAGAGGCCTACAACACAGCCTGGGATTATGCTGACGCCGAAGCACAGGTATCGTGCAAAAGGGAGGCCGAGCAGGGACATTCAAAGGGGAAAATTTCCTTGAAAAAGGAAATTGATCTTCCCGGTAGGGTAAAGGCGGAAGTCATGGAAGTAAAGCCGGTCAAAACAGAGAAGAAACCAACCGGCGAGAAACAGTGGACGGAGAAGTATTGCTCCTTTCACAAAACTGACTCCCATAACACTGCAGAGTGCAACAGCGTGAAGGGAGTAATAAAGCAGATGATTGAGGCCGGAGAGATTGACCCTGAGTACCTAGCTCAGGCCAAACAAAAGAAGAACCAATGGGTCAGACCTGAAGGACAACCGGCTGAGCAGTGCAAGAAGAAAAAGGCAGCCGGCAAGGAGCATCTACAGGTTATCTATGGTGGACCGGAAGGGGGAGATTCTGCTTCCCAAAGGAAGAAATGGGGAAGAGAACTTTATGTGGGGACGGTAGCCCTTAACCCCCGGTCAAAACAAGCAAGACGGGAACCGATCACTTTCACTGACCGGGACCTTCCCGCCACCGGAGAGGATCACAATGACCCCCTGGTGATTACTATGGACATGGGTGGAGTCGATGTATCCCGGGTACTTGTTGACACGGGCAGCAGTGTTAACATTTTGTACCTGGATGCGTTTGAGAAGCTCAAGTTGTGTCGAACACGACTTGAGCCTTTAAAGACTCCCCTGTCTGGGTTTACCGGGGACTCGGTCGAAGCTGAAGGATCGATCCTTCTAACTTGTGAACTGGGCACGGGCGATCAGGTCGTCCAGAAGCAGATGAGGTTTGTGGGTGTGAACATCAAATGTGTTCACAGTGCTATCTTAGGCCGGCCCGGGATAAACAAGGTCCGTGGGGTCATCTCCATGGCCCACCTCTGTATGAAGTTCTATACCCCGGGCGGTATAGGACAAGTCAGGGGAGATCAAAAGAAGGCCTGGCATTGCTATCTGGAGGCCGTAAAGAAAATGTCAAAGGCCTTTGAGAGAGTCACTTTGGTCTCTCAAGAAGAAGACCGGTCAAAATTGGAACCGGGTGATGAGACCGAGCAGATCGTTCTCCGGGAAGCATTCCCGGAAAGAATGGTGAAGATTGGCAGAGATCTGCCCGGAGGACTTCGAGATGAAATTGTCTCGGTCCTTCGGGAATATGTAGACATTTTCGCTTGGAGTGTGGCGGACATGCCGGGCATTGATCGCTCTGTTATATGCCATCGTTTGGCTGTAATGGAGGGGAGCCGGCCAGTGAAACAAAAGAAGAGACACTTGGCTAACGTCCGGAGGGACTTTATGAAAAAAGAAGTAAAGGATTTGTTGGCGGTCGGGCACATAAGAGAAGTACAATACCCGGCCTGGCTAGCAAACGTAGTCTTGGCTCCAAAGGGCGATACCTGGCGCATGTGCGTGGACTATACCGACCTAAACAAGGCATGCCCCGTGGATTCATACCCGCTGCCCAGTCCCGATCAAATGGTCGATGAGACGGCCGGGTGTGAATTGCTCAGCTTCATGGATGCTTTCAAAGGCTACCATCAGATTTTCATGGCTGAAGAGGACGAAGAAAAGACCTCCTTCTTAACCCCCGAAGGCACATATTGTTACCGGGTAATGGCCTTTGGACTGAAGAACTCGGGCGCCACTTACCAGAGGATGGTCAACCGGCTTTTTAAGCCACTCCTCGGTAAGTCCATGGAGGCCTATGTGGATGACATGCTGATCAAGAGCCCGGGCGCGGAGAACCACCCGGCCGACATGAGGCTTTGCTTCGAGATTATGGCTAAGTACAACTTGCGTCTCA